TATTGGCTGCCTCCTACATGCCCCCTACGGGGGACGAGCCCGCAATCCAGGCATGTGCCATTGACCGGAATTGAACCTGGGACCCTTCAGTCCGCAGGCCAGCGCTCTATCCACTGAGCCAAACTGGTCAGGGCCATATTAGCCTTTTATTATCTATCTATCTATCTATAAAAGGCTAATATGCAAAGTGTCCCCTTGGGAGTTTGGGAGTTCAATCACTTGCTGTGACATGCGCTGATCACCAGGGGGCGGCACAGAATAAAGGAAGGCCCTGGCCGGCAGCAGGAAGGTCCCAATCAGGCCCTGATTGCTGGTCAGGTCTAGGGATCCTACCCATGCACGAACTTCATGCACCAGGCCTCTAGTATAGGATATAAATTAGGGAAATATGTAACAGTACAAAGTTATCCCTTACTATTTTGTGGGTTTTTTTTCTTTTTTCTTTTTTGAATATAGGGTTTGGCAAAAGTAAGTTTATAGGTGTGAGTATGGGAAACAGAGTTTTATTCTTGTATAATTTTTTATTAATTATTGTATTATTTTCCATATAATCAACTGTAAACCCATTTTTGCCCCACTCTGTATATTTTCCTCAGGAAGTTGCAGAGTTTTTGATAGAACTATTATGAGCCAGAAGTGAATTATATGTATAGTGACCAGTGAATATATTAGCTCTAATTATTATAAGTAGTAGTTATCCTTTCTTGATGTTTTATTAACTATATTTTCTGTGCTATTAAATATTTTTCAGAAATGGATTTTCAAGACTAGTTCTTATTCTGCCATGTACATACACTATAATTTAGCAAACTTCTTTTGTTGGATGGTTTAGGTTATTTTCTGTCCTTATATAAGTAGTAGTCTGATGAACTCATATCTTTGTGTGTAGCATTGTTTCTTTTAGTATAAAGGAATTTTTAAAAGGGATTATGAAATTCATTTATTTGAAATAACTAGGTGAGATCATCAAAATACTTTAAAATTTCTTGATGTATAGACCAAGTAGCCTCCCTAGACATTTACTAACTGTCACTTCCTCCAGGAACGTGTGAGACACCCCTTCTCTGACAGCCTCAGTTAGCAATGAAATTTTCATTCTTGATAATTTGACGGTCGCAAATAGTATCTCTTTGTTTTAATAATTTGAACATTTTAGATGGTTATTAACCATATAGTTTTCTCCTTTCATGACTTATCTACTTAAATTCTCTCTTTTTATTGAAGTTTCCATTTTTCTTATATTTGTAAGGAAAAAAGTCAAACTTGAAATGTGTAGAGAACACATTAGAATGTATATTAATGATTTTTTTAGGTGGTGAAATTTTGGATGATTTTAGTTATCTTCATATTCATCGTTTTACCTGATTATTCTGTAATAGATTTTTGTGGGTTGTTTTTTTTTTGACAGAACAAAATTTTATACTTCTCGGAAGGAGGACTGGCTCTCTAGTGACATGATTTTGGCCTCTTCTGCAAAGTTGCAGGCGATGCCTTCCAGCCCCACGTAAACCCGAGAGGCTCTGGTGACTTTTCCTTACACACCAGCTTCTACCCTGGGCCTGGGCCACACTGTCTGGAGCATAGCAGTGAGAGAATGTGTGAGGCATGGCAGTAAGTGTACCATTGTTTTTGTTTTTTCGCATGTCGTGTCCAGCCTGCTATGGGATGGATGAAGAAGAAGAGGACCACTATGTTTCACAGCTCAGGGAAGTCTACAGCAGCTGTGATACCACAGGGACAGGCTTTCTGGATCGGGAGGAGCTGACCCAACTCTGTCTTAAGCTTCATCTGGAAAAGCAGCTTCCCATCCTTCTGCAGACACTTCTTGGAAATGACCACTTTGCCAGGGTGGGTATTTGACTTCATTCTCATTACGAAAGGCACAGAATACTTTTGTTGGCGATTACTGGCATTTGATAAATATCAGCTGAGTAAAAATACTTGTCAAAGGAAAGTTACACAGCTTGAAATTCATCTTGCAGTTGGACAAAATTTCAATCTACTATTAAGGAGCAAAGGATACTTATGTTTAGAAGTATTCTGTGATCTCATATAAGCAAGAAAGAAAATGAACTCAGATAGTTCTTTTTTCTAGGAAATTGAAGATCATCTAAATGGTGATCCAAAACCTAGATAAAAACTTTCCTGATAGAAACACTCACCTTGTTCCAACCTCTTGAATGTGTCCAGCTGTTAACATGTTAGTGTTAAAAACAGTGCCTGTTATCTCAAGGTATTTTATTTTTTTGATGCAATTATAAATGGGATTGTTTTTTCTTAGTTTCCCCCCTTTAAAAAATATATATTTTTATTGATTTCAGAGAAGAAGGGAGAGGGAGAGAGAGATAGAAACATCAATGATGATAGAGAATTATTGTTCAGCTGCCTCTATTGAAGATCGAGCCTGCAACTTGGGTATGTGCCTTTGACCGGAATCTAACCCAGGACCCTTTAGTCTGCAGGCTTACGCTCTACCCACTGAGCCAAACCGGCTAGGGCTTAGTTTCCCTTTTTGATAGTTCATTATAGGTGTATAGAAATGGAACTGATTCCTGGATATTAATTTTGTATCCTGCTACTTTACTGAATTCAATGATCAGTTGTAGTAGCATTTTTGGTGGAATCTTTAGGGTTCTCTATGTACAATATCATGTCAGCTGCAAATAATGACAGTTTTACCTCTTCCTTTCTAATTTGGATGCCTTCTATTTCTTCTGCTTGTCTGATTGTTGTGGCTAGAATTTCCAACACTGTGTTGAATAAGAGTGGTGAAAGCGGATATCTCTGTCCTGTTCCTGATATTAAGGGAAATGCTTTAGTTTTTGCCCATTGAGGATATCTTCCTTGATCCATTAGTTGTTTAGTAGCATGTTGTTTAGTCTCTACATATTTGTACTTTTTCCAGTTTTCTTTCTGTAATTTATTTTTATTTTCATGTCATAGGGTCAAAAAATATGCTTCATATGATTTACATTTTGTTGAGTTTATTGAGGTTTGTTTTGTGGCCTAACATGTGATCTGTCCTGGATAATGTTCCATGTGCCCATGAAAAAATATATTATTTTGAAGTTTTTGGATGAGATGTTCTATTACTTTTTATTAAGTTAATCTGGTCTAATGTGACATTTATGACCACTTATTAATTTTCTGTCTGGATGATCAATTCATTGATGTGAATGGGACATTAAAATTTCCTATTCTTATTGAATTACCATGAATTTCTCCCTTTATATTCATTATTATTTGCTTTTTATATTTGGGTTCTCCTATGTTTGGTGTATAGTTACAATTGTTTATATCCTGTTCTTGTATTAACCCCTTTCTCATTATGTAATTGCCTTCTTTGTCTTTTTTTTAACATTCTTTGTTTCAAAATATATTTTGTCTGAAATGAGTATTGCTACTCCAGCTTTCTTTTCATTTCTATTTACATGGAAATATCTTTTTCTATCCTTGCACTTTCAGTCTGTATGTGTCTTTCAATTTTTAGCAGCATATAGATGGGCCATGTATTTTAATCCATTCAGCCATCCTATCTGTCTTTTTTTATTGGAGCATTTAATCCATTTACGTTTAAAATGGATTTCCTTGTGATCTGCTGGTTTTCTTTAGTGTTTGTTTGGGATCTTTATCTTTATTCTTTGTGTATATCTTTTGTAGGTTTCTGGTTTTTAGTTACCATGAGGTTCTGTATCTATGGCAGTCTATTTTAAGCTGATAGTCATTTAAGTTTGACTATATCTAAAAGGATTACATCCCCCCCCCACACACACACTTTGTTTTTGGTGAATTTCACTGTATTTATTAAATACTAGAGGCCCAGAACATGAATTCATGCACAAGTGGGGTCTGGCCGGTCCACCCTGATTGGGGTAGGAGGGGCCCATTGGGGGAGGGGTCAGCTATGGGGAGGGACCACAGGTGGTTGGTCGAACTCCCGGTTGAACTCCTAGTCAAACTCCCAGTCGAGGGAACGATTTGCATATTAGCCTTTTATTATGTAGGATTTGCCTTTATCTGTGAGATTTTTTTTCTGTCTAATATTTTATTTCTATTTATGACCTTTCCTTTTGTTTATCGGAGGCCCTTTAGCATCTCTTGTAAAGCTGGTTTAATGGTGATGGACTCCTTAATTTTTTGGTTGTCCAGTAAACTCTTTTCTCTCCTTCAATTCTGAATGAAACCTTTCTGGGTAAATTATTCTAGGTTATAGGTTCCTTTCTTTCATCACTTTAAAGATGTTCTGCCATTCCCTTCTAGCTTATAAAGTTGCTGCTGAGAAATCAGCTGATATCTTTATGGGGTTTCCTTTCTCTGTAACTAGTTGTTTTCCTTTTGCTGCCTTCAAGATTGTCTCTTTAACTTTTGCCATTTTTAAAAAATATATTTTATTGATTTTTTACAGAGAGGAAGGGAGAGGGATAGAGAGCTAGAAACATCGACCAGCCACCTCCTGCACACCTCACACTGGGGATGTGCCCGCAACCAAGGCACATGCCCCTGACCGGAATCGAACCTGGGACCTCTCAGTTCGCAGGTTGACGCTCTATCCACTGAGCCAAACCGGTTTGGCAAACTTTTGCCATTTTAATTACAATATGTCTTGGTCTCTTTTAGTTCATCTTGGTTGGAATTCTTTGTGCTTTTTGGAGCTATCTGTCTCTTTTCTTTCACAGGTCAGGAAAGTTTTCAGCCATTATTTCTTCCAATAAAATTCTGATTTCTTTCTGACTTCTCCTTCTTGGACCCCTATAATGTGAATGTTAGTGTGCTTGCTATTGTCCTAAAGGCCCTGTAAATGATCCTCAGTTGATTTTTTAAAATTATTATTGCTGTTCTAATTAGTTGATTTCCATTAGTCTGTCTTCAAGGTCACTGATCTTTTCTTCTGTGTTAGCTAAGCTACTATTGATTACTTCTAGTGTATCATTATATTCTTCAGCTCTCTTGGTTTCTTACTATACTTTCTAACTCTTTGTTGAAGTTCTCCCTAAATTTCTCTATTTCACTCTCAAGTTTGGTGTGTATCCTTCTGACTTTTCTTTTAATTTTTTACCAAATTGCTTATCTCTGTTTCATTAGTTTTATTTTCTGGTTGATTTTTCTTGTTCCTTCATGTGAGAGGTATTCTTCACTTCATTTTGTTCACCTTTCTTTGTTTATCTGAATTAGACAAAATGTTTCTCTCTCCCAATCTTGAAAAAGTGACCTTGTGTGTGCTGGGTGGTTTTGAGAGTCCATTTGGAGCCAAGCAGTTGCCTATGGCATCTGGGGCACTGGCCTACAACGCTGTAGTAGTCTGGGAGGGCAGGCCAGGTTCATGTAGGAGTGTCCTGTTGATCCTGCTTGCTTCCTTTGTTTGGAGCCAAAACGGACTCCCAGAATGTGCTATGGCAATCGTGCAGGTAAGCCAGAGCCTGTGGAGAGCCCCCACCTGACTGATGGAGGTGGACAAGGGACATAAACAGTGGTGCTCACTGGCACCTTCACTTCTGGAGAATTCCTGCAGATACTCGGGGCTCCCGTGGTTCCCTAGCCTTCTCTACTCGTTATCTTTCTCTCCTTTATTCATAAGCTGTCTAATCAGTCCCCAGTTGTCTCTCAGGCATGATTGCTCTCTAAATAGGTGTAATTTCAGTGTGCTTTCAGCGTCTTCCTGTGTTATTACCATCTTGGACCTCCTCCTTTTAAAAAATCTTAGGTAAATTTTTTGGGAAAAATAAAAGTTCTCAATGCAAAAAGGCAACAATAAGATGTTTCCATCAGAGGAAATAAAACAAACAAAAGGCCGATGCATTATGTATTTGTTCTGTTGAAAGTAACTTTGACCTCTTTTCTTAAATTCACCCAGGTTAACTTTGAGGACTTTAAGGAAGGTTTTGTGGCAGTGTTATCATCAAGCGCTGGTGTCGGCTCCTCGGATGAAGACAGTAGTTCCTTGGAATCAGGTAAGAGGATTTCCTCCCCTCACTTTAGTTTCTTTTCATTATGTATAACATATTGGGGTATAATATCCTGATTGAAGAATCTAGTAGGTTGAGATTAAATTCTAACCCTGCTCTATCACTGCTGAGCGGTGACAACTGGGACAAAACATTTCTGTTTTTTTCTTCTATTTTCTTATTTGTAAAATAGTATTATTAGATAGAAATCCTGTTATTTTCCTTTAAACTGTGCACAATACTCTGAATACTGCTGACACTCTGGTCACCAGATGTGTGGTAGTTTTTCCCGTGCTGGCAATTCTCTGACACCATTTGGGTGCTCTACAATTAATTCTGACATGATCTACCTAGAGATAGTGTCAGATCTGACAGGTTAAGGGCTGAATCCCATTAATTCTTCACTTTAGATGCTGGTCGCAAGTCCAGGTTGTCACCTGTGCTTCTGACCAATAGCTATGAGTCAGAGGTTCTCAAAGCCTACTCCTCTGATTCGATTAATTTGCCAGGGCAGCTCACAGACTCAGAGTTTTACTCACTAGATCACTGGTTTATTAAAGAAGTATTTAACTCAGGCCCAGCCGGTGTGGCTCAATGGTTGAGCGTTGACCTATGAACCAGGAGGTCAGTGTTCGATTCCCGGTCATGGCACATGCTAACTCAATCCCCAGTAGGGGGTGTGCAGGAAGTAGGCAATCAGTGGTTCTCTCTCATCATTGATGTCTCTATCTCTCTCTCCTTTGTTCCTCTCTCTCTAAAATCAATAAAAACATGTTTTTTAAAAAAGTAAATAACTCAGGAATAGCCAGATAGAAGAGATGCATCAGACAAGGTGTGGGAAAGGGCCGGAGCTTCCAGGTCCTCTCTACGTATGCCAGTCTCCCCAGGCTCCAATTGGTCACCAGCCCAGCAGTTCTCCAAACCTCATCCTGCTGGCATGAGAGGGAGCAGGTGTCTCAGGGAGGGCATACAGCAATTTAATTGAGGAAAGCTTTGAAATCTAAAAGAAATTACAAAACAAAACTGTCATCAGTGAGAAAAAGCACAAGTTGTATGTCCTCCCTGAGACACCTTCTTGCTCTCATGCCAGCAGATGGGGCTCATGCTAGTGTTCTTCTCCAAGCACCCATCCACAGAGGCAGGGAGCCCACTGCTCGAAGGCCTGATCAAGCATTGGTGGTCCTGGAGAGTCAGAACAAGCTTGGTGCCCTCCAGGATGGTGTTCATTTCAGTTTTCCACCCCTGGTTCACCTTCTCTTTCTCAGGCCCCTTTTGTCAAATGTGGTTTAGGCCTCTGCCTCCTCAGTGCCTCATTTACCACCTGCTACTCCATTCATAGCATCACTCTCTTCTTGTTTTCTAATCTGCTTGCCAGTCTTTCCTATAATCTCCCACCCTGATCAGAAAAATGTGCTTTTGATACTCCAGGAAGGAGAGTGTCATTGTGGAATCAAATCCTTGGGATTTTGAAGGACATCCCTGCTTCCCATCATTCTACTCTTTTCACTAGAGGCCATTATTGAACATACTAGAGGCCCAATGCATGAAATTCGTGCAAGGGTCTTGGCCCTCGCAGCCCCACTTCGTCTGGAAGGTTGTCCTGAAGGTCGTTTGGCTGTCCAGTCTAATTAGCATATTATGCTTTTATTATTATAGATAACCATATGTGCTTTAATGTTTAGATTTTTTTACTCTTTTCCTATAAATAAAAATGTACACCAGGAAGACACCACTGGATGTCTAGGGCTTGGGTCAGCAGGTATGCTGCCCTGTCTACCAGAGCCATGAGGGGCCATATCTTGTGTTCTGTGGACACTTTGTGGTGTGTTATGGGGGCTGGGCTGGGCTGTGCCTGCGCTGAAATATGCGTGGCCGGGTGACTTACCGTCCTTCCCACCCCCAGAGGGTATGACTTTTATGAATCTGTGGGCTGTTCCATTCATTTTACCATCATTCCTCTGCCCTTGTTGTTTCTGTTCTGACTTGCTACATGGACACTTTTCTAGAGTAGCGTTTCTCCCTGTTGGAGGGAGGGAGGTGATAGGTTTCTTGAGAACATGGTGAATATTATAAAAAAGTGTTTTCCCACCTTACCTGTCCACATCTGCACAGAGCATGCGTCTTTCTGGACGACTCGTTACTCAAGGGAGGTGCTGACTTGCTGGCAACGGAAAAAGTGGGTCCAGCATCCAGGACAGGGTGGGACTCCGGACATGGACTAGGGGTTATCTACAGAGAGGCAGTGGAAGGAAGGAAAATCAAGCCGACAAGGCAGGAACACATGCTGGTTGCATGATCTCCAGGTGTGCCAACAAGTAGACTGAGCCCGGGAAGTGGCCACGGTACGGACCTGGGGGCCAGGACTCTGCTTCTGTGGAGGTCTGAAGGCTTAGGAGGGCGCGCAGAGCTCCCCTCCAAGCGTCCTGCACCGGTTTTCCCACACGTGCCACAGCTTCCCCTTCTCACCTGACACAAAGGTCCCTCTTCTGACACCACCTTTGGGTGGAAAGAGGACGATTCTTCCCCACCCACTTGGCCTCTTCTTGAGCAGATCCCATGAGCTCTCTCACATGGTGAGAGTTTGTGGGGCCAGGGCCTGCCAATGCCTGTTGTTCCAGGGTGTTAGTCATGGTGCTTGCAGTGACCTCAAAGTGCCCCAATGGGGTGAGAAATTACATGGTCAACCTGCATACTGTCAGCTGCCTTGTATGTCACTCTCTCCATGTTCTACATGTCCCAGGTGAGCGTTTTCCTCCCAGAAACTGCCCCTGTCCCTAGTTTTTGTCTGTCGCTGGCATCACCATTCTTCCTCTGATGGTCCCAAGGTTAGTGGCTGTGAAATAAAGAAAGAAATGTGGTGGTACTTGACCTTAAGGGGCGTGACTTCTGGTGGGGTGAGGCTCAAGACGCATCTGCAGTGAAATGCTCCTCGTCTCCTGGCCTGGCCACTCTGGGCTCTGTTTCTCTCCAAGTGGCCCATTCTGGTTGCTTCCCTCTGAAGCCCTGTCCTGTGCTGGCCACTGCCTGTGCTGCCCTCCCTGTCTCTCTCCTGCCTGCCAGGCTCCAGCACAGAGTCAGCGAGTGTCTTCTCTGCCTCAGAGATCCCAGCTGCTCTGTGCAGATGTGGACAGGTAAGGTGGCAAAAAGGAAGTGCAAAATTATTCAGGTTTAGGGGATTCTCATGAACCTCAAAACTAAGTCCATACCTGCCTGCGCCCCAGACTTGAGACCCGCATGGAGCCTGAGCCTACACAGCTCCATCTGAGGTCTGTGCCCACCTGCATCCTCCATCCAGGCCCTGGGGTCCTAGAGTGAAGTGAGCAGGGTGGAACGTGACCTCCCTGTCTCTGGAGTGGTCTGGTCCTGGGTTATTGGGAAGGTTTTTTCCTTTGTATAAAAAGCTAGATTTTGTATTAGTTTTTTATTACCTAAATAAAAGCAAAATATGGTAAAAAACAAACAAACAAAACAAAACTTAAAGCCTTAGCGAGTGTGGCTCAGTTGATTGATCATTGCCCTATGCACCAGGGGGTCACCAATCCAATTCCAGGTCAGGGCACACACCAGGTTGAGGGTTCGAGTCTCAGTCGGGGTGTATGCACGAGGCAGCCGATTGATGTTTCTCTCCCACAATGATGTTTCTTTCTCGGCCTCCCTCCCTCCCTTCCTCCCTCTCTTTCTCCCTCCCTCCCTCCCTCTCTCCCTCTCCTTTCCTCTATCTCTAAAGAAAAAACCAAAAAATTTAAACAGCATGTAAAGTTTAGAGTGGAAAGTCCTTGTCTCCCAGCCTGGCTTTCTCAGTCCCCAGCCCAGGGAATAGGATTACTGCTGTTAACTGTTCCCTCTGTTCTCCCAGGTGAGTCTGTGAGAATAAAAGTGCATCCATCAGTGAGGCATGCACTCTGTGTCCAAATCTCTGCCTTCTTAAAAGGCATCTCAGTAGCTTGCATGGGCCCAGAGGTTGCTTTAAAGGCCCACCCCTGTGAACCTCCCATTTTCTTTCCAGCTGCCTCCCATGCTGTCCCACCAAAGTATGTGAGTGGCTCGAAGTGGTACGGCCGGAGGAGCCGGCCTGAGCTGTGCGACTCTGCACCCAGAACCAAATGTTTCCCAGAACAGCAAGCCAAAGCCTCCGTGAAAAGCCAGATCCGACGCGCTGCATCTCTGGAAAGTGTGGAGGTGAGTCGGGTCCCCCCTTCCCCACCCCAGGCTGCCAGGCATCAGGGAAATGGCGATTCACTTCATCACTGCTCACTGCAGGAAGATGTGAAGGGGC